CCTCTTGTAGCCTGTTTTTCAGGTCGGCCCGATTCATGCCACATATTTTTGATTGCCTTCACGCCTGGAGATTTGTGGAAGAGAGTGAAGCTCTTTGGGACTTGGGTCATATAAAAGCGATTCTCGCATTAAGCGGAATTCATGCTTGAGTCCGCTCTTTTGGTGGCATTTGAATGTTTCCAACACATCAAGTTTGTCCGCTCTTTCTTGTTGTTATCAATGCCATCCATAACTCCGCCGACTTCATTCGACCAATGCCTGCCACACTATAACATGACCATTGCTCTGCTCGCCGTAAGCCGTCCGTTCACGGACGTAATAGGGAGCTAAGACAGACAAAACACGTTTCTAAGTTCATTTTATTTTTATTCCTTGATAAATTCTAATCATAGTTTCCTATTTAGATGAGAATTAATAGATTGGTTTTGAGAAGCCTTACTAGATAATAGCTTCCAAAGACAAGCGCCAAAGCGAGCTGCCTTCGTAATCATTTTATTTATTTATTTATTTATTTATTTATTTATTTATTTTAATGTTTTTGTAAAGAACCTCAGTATATGAGAACATTTCACTACATAAAAGTGTAGTCGTTCCGAACCGTTAATACATTTTTGATAGACAATTTGCGATCTTGACTTGATATTCAGTCTATATTGACAGATATTTGAAGGTTTTCACTTCAACTTCTGGGTTAATATCTGCAGCAAATTTTATATATTAATGTGTCCGATAGTACACAAAAATTGTGTACGTTAGAAAGTGTTAATGGTTAATGGCAGCTGATAACTAACTGAATGCCCTGACCTTGGCCAATTACGGTGTCCTTGCTAAGGTCGAATTATGATTTTAAGCAATGTTTCATTCAATTTCAGGTTTATTTAATTGATGCTTTTTTCTTTCCATTTCGTAAATTTCACTTTTTATGATAATTTTTCTTTTTATTTATTTTAATTACTATTCAATAAGCACACTTTACATACTACTAACCTAATGAAAGGCATATATATATGAATATATATAGAAAAAATTCTTTATTTGTGTGTATGTGTGTGTGTATGTGTGTGTGTGTATGGATGAATATTTGTGTAATAATCTGTTATTTGTTGTTGCTGCTACTGCATCAGTAGTTGTTATTGTACATCATCAATGCTTAATGGTTATGCGGTATATACGAATGTTTTTACCTGCAGTTGATGATGTGATTTCCTGCTGATGTTTAATTTACTTTCTTTTTTGATTTTATTAATTAATTAACGCGGCGCAGACAGCGCGGTGGTGGTTGGCTAACTGATCGCTCAAACAAAACAAACAAAATAATCTTGAATCACTTGTTAGCATGATAAATAAATAATATTAATACATGCAAACGTACATATACTGCGCAGCTATTTAGGTACACTGATGATGGTAATGGCTGTGATGCAGACTCGTTTGCCCCGTAGTTTATGTATCTTAAATACATTTGTATCTCTGTATAAGCAAAGCGGAAAAAGAAGAAAGGATTGGATTTAGTTGTGTGCGTTATTGTGTTTCTCTTTTCGCCTTTAAAAAAAAATTTCACTTTCATTTCATTGTTAAATACCCAAATACTGGAATATATCGGAAATTAGGAAAAAAAAAAGTTATATATATTTTTACACTCATTCAGTCATTTGGCCGAATGGCTTGATACGTGCATTGGCGTTTCGGCTTGCTTTTGTAACAAGCTCATAGCTAACACATTCTATAACTTTAACACAATACGCCCATAAGCCTTCGAGTCCGCTCTGTTAATATTATAATACTCTGGAGTACAGTCGACAACTTACATAGAAAGGGAAAGGACTGACGAAATAAATGAATACGGGACCGGAACCGGGACGACACCTAGTTCTAAAACTCCATCTGAATGATAAAATTGTAAATAGAGGAACAATTTTAAGGTCATAATTATTGTTCATTCAGCAGTCAGACCGTGGGCTATCAGTTTCGATGAATCGATTTCGATATTTAGCTTGACCCATAGTTTTTGTATTCAGGCATTTGCAGCCTTTTCGTAGATACGTTAATGGCATTTCACTAACCTGACTTGCATTTTTTAGCCGAGAAGATAAGGGCGATAAGGGCTACCATATCGGTATTCTTGCTGGGGGTCCAAGTATCAGTGCGATTTTGACCATATTGGTCGTCCGGTGGTGAAGTCATAGCACTTAGCGATTGCACCTCTTAATACTGCGCCTTTTAATAATGCTTAGAATTCTTGCCATTCAGCAGTAAGTAGACCCAATCCGTTCATTAAACTCCGTCCAAAGGTCGATTTGATTTTTCAAATCGTGCTATCAACTCGCACAATTGGTCTGAATTTAACAACAATTCCATGTTTTTTATTCAAAATGTGCATCGTAAACGTTATCCACGCGAAATCCATCAGTAAACCATGGCACCTACGAAGCGAGTAACTTTGTGTATAAAAAGAGAACAAACACAACAATGCTCTTGTGAAAAAATATAAATACATATATATATATTTTTTTCGTTAACATGTGCTAATAATAATATTAAAGTAATTAAAATTATTTGCCTTAAGCCCCAGAAGGCATGTGTTTGTTGCGCTTTGTTAGCTTGAAAAATATTAAATAACTGCAATATTATTTATTAATAATAATAACAATGCAATATAACAGCTTTAACAGTTTTAATAAAAATGTTACGTGTGCACGACATTGACATTGACCCACCTACGCACACAAGAAAATGACAGAAAATAAAAAAACACAAGTTGTAAAGTTTAATTCAATGATACGTGCATATGTGTATCTTCTTTTTAAATGAGTGCAGTGTTGGGTGCGGCGCGGTGCCGCATATCGCCCCCTTCCCCTCTGCCCATCATTCCGTTTTTTTTTTTTGTTTTTTTCTATAACTTTTCCATCATATTCCATATTTCAGTCAGCCGTCAATGAAAACATTCCTAGCGCACTTATAAATGTATTATATATATAAATGTATTATACATATATATATATATATATAGCTCGCACATTTTTGCTAATAATACTTGCCAAGTGCAATAACGTGTACGTGGGCAACCTTTATTGTAGTAAACAATCCCGATTGTGCCTCCTGCAACTGCCAGGCGCTTGTCACTCACATCTATTACATAATAGCGTAACGGCTGACGCCACTTTTTAATATTTATGTTGTTGTAATTCGCACATTTGTTGTTAAAAGTGGGAAATACTTGGCCGAGTGTCGTTTGGAAAGCTTTTTTTGTGTCATTCTTAAAAGAGCCGCCATCGCGTCTTGGCTCGTGGCGTGTATGTGCGATTAAATGAATGAACATCTCGACTCATTAGTCATCTCTAAGAAAAGAGAGGTAACTGAACTTACGTTACACTATATGAATTGATAAATGGATAACAAAGCTTTTATTTATTATTGTTTATAAGTTAGCTACACACACTTGTTACTGCTCGTCGATGTGATTTCATTATTGAATTATTTTAAAATTTCTTTATGCAAATATTTATTGATTATCGCAAATATAATGTTTACTTAAACTTGGAATTCGTATTTAATGATTTCTTTTGGTTTGAAAGGTGATTCAAATTAATTCCCTTTTGCGGAAATGCGACACTTATTTTCTAAAACTATTTTGAAAATCACTTATTGTCTAACTAAAAGATATTTCAGAAATAAGTTCGGACGACGCCCATAAATAATATTATAATTGAAACTGGTCTCCCAACCTTAGAAAATAGACTGTATGAGTTAAAAGCTAAAATAGTCCCTAAGCTTCTTAATTCAAACAAATCCATTCTCGGTGATGACGTAAGAAAGATTATTATTGCGAAGAAAATTCCAAAGTCACCATCTGCAATTGACCATTGAACATTCCCTTAAAAATTTCCCGCTCTTTTGGTGTTAAACCTCCCTGGATTTTGAAAGACTGCTCTTTTGACATCTCACTGTCTATGCACAAGAAAGAAGATACTCCAAATTACGTCTTCAGGAATCTAATAGCTGAGAAAACCCAAGTATTGGACAATACTGGTTGGAATCTTTTGTACACAGACGGCTCAAAATCTTCTGGTCTGCCTCCTGCTTGTGCAGTGGTAGATGCTACAGGACGGATTCTTCTCAACCACATATTTCACGAAAGCACTTCAACTTTCATAACCGAAGCCAGAGCTATCCTTCACGCTGCCAACCTTGCCCATAAAAACAAACTCAAAACCGTCATTGTTACTGACAGTTTGTCTGTATTACTAGCTACCCGGAACCCTTCGACTTCGAGATGGACCACCATCATCAAATTAAGGAATATAATTACTACACCCGACGGAAAAATTAAAATGTTATGGGTACCAAGTCACATCGGTTTACTGGGAAATGAGCAGGCTGATCGAGCGGCAAAATATGCTGCTTCTGCTCCTCTAATTATGGATGACGTCATGGAAAAGTTGGATCTTCAAAGATACATTGGAAGAAAAGTTAAAGAGAAAATTGCTGAAGGAAATTTACAATACCATCATCAACACTACTCTTGCATTAACCCTCAATTAACTCCACCTCTATATCCAACAAATGTTGAGAAAACCAAGATCCAAACATTTTCGAGAATTCGCCTTGGTCATACAATTGCAACTCACCAATGGATCCTGAAGAAGTCTTCTCCCCCAATCTGCTGTTGTGGACAAACTCTTACTATAAAGCACATTCTCTGCGACTGCCTCAACTTTTCCTTGGCTAGAAGTATTGCATTTGGAACGATTAACCCTTTGTACATTCTACAATCAACTTCCGAACAGAATGTCAATTCAATATTTTACTTTATTAATACTACTAAGCTTATTATCTAATATCCATTTTTTTAAATTAGAGCCGATAGCCTATGTTGCTAGTGCTCAATGTCTCTTTTTTTTAGTCTAAGACTTCAATTCATTAGTCTAAAATTAAAATAATAATAATAATAATAAGTTCAGGAAGATTTTTAAAATTATTTTCAAATTTTTAACTTTTAGGCTCAGCGACCTGAAAACACTGTTATGCAAGCCTTGGAGTCACTTAACGATACACAAGTCAATGATTTTCTTAGCGGCAAAACTCCGCTTAATCTTAGTATGCGTCTCGGTGATCATATGATGTTGATACAACTCCAACTGAGTACGGTGAACCCCGTTAATAATGTAGCTCATACGGGAATCAACTGCAGTTCCTCACGTCCACGTTCCAGTCATCATCATCATCACCATCATCATCACCAGCGAAGCAGTAATCGTATAACGAATAGCGGCACAGCAGCAACAGCCAAAACGACTGCTCACACGAACGCGACCACGATCACTAACAACAACAATAACACCTCGCAAAATGCTGTGACTTCAGGTCACAGTCATCATTTTCATCATCATCACCATCATCATGCTTCTATTACCAATAATAGTAGCGGTGCAGCGATTACCCTACCACAGGAATCTTCTGCAAATGCTTCAAAGGCTTTGGCCGTACGTAAATTAGACTTAGATGCCACCTGCCAAAGACGTACAAATGCGAACGGCATAACGGCAGTCGCTAGGATGCCAACCCCTTCGCGATCCTCTGCTCTGGGTAGCAATTCAGCTCCACTCACAAGTTCGGAATTGAGTTCCATACTTAGTAGGAAAGACTTTGAAAGCTTGCAAAACATTGTAAAAAGTATTGCCATTTCTCAGCCCGTTGCGCGTTTGGCTTCGTCAGCGATCAATACGAACGGTGTTTCAACAACAAGTACTTCATCTAATGTCGCAGCACCGGTTACTGCAACCACGTTCCACACCACCACGGAAACTGCTACTGTATTGGAGCAGTCCCCGATTAAATCACTTTCAAATCTTGTATGCAGTCCCATTAAAACAGCAGCCATTAAGAACATACCCAACATTACCAGTGGTGGCGTCAACAATTCCAACAGTTCCTCGTCGTCGTCGTCGTCGTCGTCGTCGTCATCGTCGTCCTTATCAGCGGTTGCTTTAGGTCCTCATACCGTTTCGGCAACTTCAGCTGCAATTAGTGCCCCTATGTGCCAGGATCCAATCGCAGCTAAGTTGACCTCTTGTCTTTGTACACGCTTGAATGGTGGCGGCAATGTGTCCAAACATTGTATTGAAACCTCCTGTTTAACACAACAACAACAACAACAACAGCAACAGCAACAACAGCAACAGCAATCAAACTTGCTAGAAGAGCAATTATCACATAAACCCACAGCATTGATAACTAGTACTCCAAATAATACGTTTAAAAGTTTAAATATGGCTGCTACGTCTATGGTAACGACTGTGTCTACTCGATCATCATCCGCGTTACACAAGACATCAAACAATCCAATTACACGCAAACATCGTCATCATCATCACCATCACCATCATCATCATCATCATCACTATCAACACAATAACTCAGCAGCGACAGGAGAAATGATAAAGAGCAATTCAGCTTCCGTGCCGAATTTCAAGAGCAATAGCCCTACTACATCAACTAAATCTTCAAGCAATGACAGTGGTTTTGTATCAAATGATGATTCAAATTTAGTGATTAACACAGCATCGTCAACAATTACTAGCAGTGCACCAATTGTGGTGGCTGCACCCTTACCTTCAACCTCAACTAGCGCAGCAGCATCCAGCCCATTGGATATGGAAGAGTCCGGCTTAGGAGCAGTTAGCAACTCTATGGAGTTAACATCGGATACCCGCACTTTAGCAGAGGCTTCACGCAATCTCACCCAAACGCTACGTAAACTATCCAAAGAAGTGTTCACTAATAAGATTGATTTCTCTACCAGTGAAGAAGCACCGCGCAAAAGCGGTTCAGGAGCAGTCATTGAATCAATGAAGAATCATGGTAAGGGCATTTATTCAGGTACCTTTTCTGGTACGCTCAATCCCGCTCTGCAGGATAGATATGGCCGACCAAAGCGTGACATTTCGACGGTCATTCACATCCTTAATGATTTACTGAGTGCCACACCTCAATACAGTCGCGGAGCACGTATCAGTTTTGAGGCTCCTTCTACGTCGACTACGGCAGCCGCTTCAGTAGCAGCGGCCAGCGGTTCCACGGGTATGGTACACCACACCTCTAGGAATGGTAAGGTAGGTTAGCAAAATATCTAATATCTGTGTGGTACCCATATATATAAAATAAATGTTGATATTTTGTCGTTACAGCACTCGTCCAAACATCATCACGCCCATTCCTGTGTTAAATGCCTAAAGGCTCACAGCTCTGCAGCATCAGCTACGGTGAACGCTTCCGTATCGACAAATGGAACAACCTCTTCATCTAATAGCACTGTGTGTGCGTATAATGAATGCAATGGTGTGAATTTATTGGCAAATAAATCACACGCAATAAAAAATTACACTTGCTGTCAGCAGGATGTGACAACACCGGCCAATATTAACGGTACACAATCGTTGGCAACGAGTACTAGCTCCGTTAATGCTGTTGCAACGCCATCAGCCACCACTACTATTACTAATGCCATTACTAGCCACCATACACATCATCATCATCATCATCATCATCGCCATCTTGCCATGGTGGATGAACGTAAGGTATGCCAGTGTCGTTATCGGGTGCACAGTGAGTCTGGCGAACGTGAACGTGAATACACTTGTCTAAAATGCACTATTGAATTGGAAAACATGAAAACCAAGTCAAAATTAGATCAGTTGCGTTTAGTTATGCAGCAACGTAAGCAGAAGCGTGAGGCGCGCAAATTGAAAGGCGCCCCCTATGGTGGACGAGTGGTCGGCGCAACAACTTCAACAGCGTCGGCAGCCGACTTGGCCGACACTTCGTCAACGACATTGACCACCACAACAAATGCTGCTGCCATTAGCAGTACAGCACCAAATGCACCGATAAGTGTCGCCACAACAGCCACACCACCCAACGAAGTCTCCCCCAATCATATTGTTGAGGAAGTCGATACCGCTGCTTAAATCCAAACAGCACATTGTCTTCATATATAATGTATATACGTATAAAACACAATACAACAGCAACAACTACTGCTGTTGTATAAACACACAAACTGTTATGAAAAATATGCAACCAGCAGGCTTAGACAAGTAAGAAACAACAAAAAAACAATCCAACTACTATAGCCTATTGAACTCGCAAAAGACGCAAATACGATGTAATTTTAAATGTAATTTTCGAAAAAAAATCCGTTAACATTTCTTCTTTTCCTTTCGTTTTTATCTTATTCGATAGCACTTCAGCTTGCTTACCGCTTTCACTTTTTTTCAACTTTTTCGAGAAACCGGGCCTCCGGACTTTCACCTTAAATCGAAATCGGTACATATGGGCAAATAGATGTGGTAAATAAGTTCACGTAAAGCTTTTGAATCAATTTTCGTTCAACACTACACTCTCGCCCTTTATTGCAAGCTTGGGAAAGAAACTAAGAAAGTCTTTTCGTTTGCTTTTCTATAAAAGGTGGTAGACGCCTCTTAAAGAACAAAAGTGCCTCTCTTCCCAAAAATTGATATAATCGGTGTAGCATTTATTAATACTAACATTTCAACACACCTACACATACACACTTACACTGCCACTTACACTTAACACTGCAATCCTTTTGTCGTTTCATCTCATTGTCGCGCCTTGACATTGTTGCGATTTTTTATTTCACATAAATTTAGCAAAAAAAAAAAAAAAAAAAAAGTAAACAAAACAAAAGAAATGAAATTAAATTTCAATATTGAAAAAATTATAGGATTTCCTTGAATTTTAATATTATTTCGTTTAATTATTTCTATTTCTCAAGTTTCTGGTGAGCTTAAATCTTGACGTAAAAATGAAAAATTATTTTTACACACGTCGTTAACATTAATTTCTAAGAGTTTTTGTTTTTTTTATTATAAAAATGAATTTGTTTTTTAATTTTTGTTTTTTAATCACAATTTTTTCATAACCACTGTGACAAATATTGCCTCTAATCGCAACTACGACCGGAAGTTGGCGTATTTCATTTGTAAAACGCACTTAGTATATACAAACTCTGATCGGAAGTCGTTGAATTACGAAAACGCAAGCAGCATTTGTGTCCTCTTTTCATTTTCGAAATTTATTTGATTTGATGTTTTGATAATAAATATACAGGCGGCGGTCGCCTGATCATATCAACCATACATCGAACAAAGCTTAACCTTTCGCAGTCGCGCATGTCCAAAAGCGGATGAAGCAATATATCAACGATTTAAGCGTTTGCTAGCGAAAATAATTTGGAATTTTTCCTTCAAAATAAAGTCCACCATCAGGAACCTTCTCCTTTTCTTCTTTCTAATTTATCAGATTTTACTATCGCTAACTAAATTTGGAGCTAATAACATACGCTATATATAAAACCGCCTTTCCGTGTAATTTGCCTGCCCCTTTTTAAATGTAAAGAAGGTACGTGGGCGGTCAATTCATTCGTAGCAGTCGCGCAAGGTGTGGCTCAATTAATTAGCCAAAGATATCTCTACAAAATTTAATCGAAGACTATTGAAGATTCTCTTGAAGTGATGCTTATATGACCATAGGTAGAACTAGTCGACTTTTTGCGATATGTTTTCCGTTTGTTGCATAATTTTTGGCTCTCATTTTCGCTTGTAGTTCTGTGTGAGAAAGAAAATCTAAAAAGTCTTTGTTTCTTAAAAAATGAGCTGGACAAGGGAAATGATTAGTTTTTATTTAAGAGAAAAAGAAGAAGAAGAAGAAGAAGATAAATATAAAAGTTTTTGATTCGAGTAATCAATCATCATTGCAAACTGCGCGAAAATGCTTTGAAACGAGGAAAAGTTCATTTATTCACACTATACCTTACATATTATTATTTTGAAGGATATTTTTATGAACTTTGATATTTCTCAGTAAAAGAAAGTTTTGAAATGCCTTTTACCTTCATCTCAAAGAGGTCGACTTCGTACACTTTTATATTATAAAATAAATTAACAAAGCGGACTATGAACAAAAAATTGCAAGTATGTTTTAATTGTCGTACTAGATTTTGTCACTAAATGATAATTTTGTACTTGTAGTAGCTGAAGAGGAATTTGAAAGGCTACATTTAAATAAAATGCGCAAAGAAAACAAGAAACAAAAAGAAATTTTGCTCTGCAGCCCTCAGGAGCAAAGAGAGCGCTTTTCTTCTGCGTTAGTAAAACATCTCAAGTTCAATTCGCAACTGATGAAGTACATCATTTTTTTTCTTAAGAAATCTTTTTTTTTTTTTTTAAAAAAGAAAATTATTTTATTGTTAACAAAATTTCCACGTAAAATGATGTTTTTTTTTTTTTCAATATTTTATCCTCGAAGCCTTGTGTACAATAGCTCTTCAATACATTTTTCCAAATATACATTTAATTATATTTTACGTTTACTGGTACGCCCCTCTCCTGCATAACATAAATTTCATAAGTAAACTAAATGCTGAGTTTTCTTTCATCAACTGTTGTTCATCAACTGTTTTCCTTTTTCTTTTATGGTTATATCTTTCTCGTAGTTAACGTCAAGTCTATGGCATCTAAAGTGTAGTCGTTCTTTAAAGCTTGTCGCAAACGTTGTACAACACGATTCATTCGATCATATGGATGATAAAGATATCCTATTCTGTGCGCTGTTTTAATGAAACTACTTTTCTCCTCCATTGACATCTCGTTCCACCACTCGGCCACCTCCTCAACAGTAAGACATATCGATTGATCGGCAGCTCGCTTATGCAAATAAGGGAGGAAGACATTATGGCTTTGTATATTGTCAGATAGCGTTTTATTGGAATTAGGATACAAGCTTTCAGCATTTGGATTAACCGGGACTGCCTGACCAAAGAAACGCATTTTGTTTTTTTTTTTTTGTTTTTTTTTTTGTTTTTTTTGTCAACTAAGAATTTGTTTTTCTTAAAAACTTTTCAATTTGGCAAAAGTGATTCTTATTTTATATATTTTTTATTGAAAGAAATATCAAAGCGTACAATATACTTATGTATGCTATGACGAAAAAAGTGAGTTTTCAACAATCGAGTACATTTTTTCACATCTCTCTGTGGGGCAATTTGATATGCTGGACAGGATTGCTCGCCATTTTTTCACATAATTATGGTTTCTTGCAGTACCCTTACACGCCCTTATTCTGAGAGTCTACAAGCGTTCAATCGTATGAACAAGGTGTCGAATCAATGCGAATATATCCTAAGTACGAGGCAATCATTCAATGTAGAGTCTTTCTTTAAAGGATCCTTCTCAATCAAGCCTCGTTCTAAGTAAATGATTAGATATTAATCGATGTCCACCTCAAAGATTCGCTGTCTCTTTCATTTGTGTCCACTTCTTTCCGACCATAAGCGTGCCACGCGTTAAGGGGACATCCTCCGAGTGATTGATCGTGTAAAAGGGCGCCCCCCCCGCGCGATTTAATGTAGAAGTGTCGCGAAAACAGACATGCAATGCAAAAAAGAAGGGGGTCAGAGCTCCTTTTTAGTCTTATCTTATAATCATGAATAGAATTGGATTGATTTCGTTCAAGCACCGAATTGCTGGCATAATCCAAACGCGACAGTATAGACGGAAATAGACGGAAGAGGCAAGCGATATGTCTGGTTATATTTCAAAACTTTCTCTTTGTTTTTATTAATACAAAATACAAAAAAAAAAAAAAATGCTATGTTACGCTACGTTTTCCGGATTCGATATGAAACGTATGCAATTTTCCCTCACTTATTTCATTATTCGTTTTACTTAGTTTAATTGCTTAGCTTTTAAACAATTTTTTGAATTTTTTTCAAACTTTTTGCTCTGCTGGCTGAGTGAAAGTATGTTTCACTTTTAATCGATTTTCGTTTTCTTATATTTAATGTAATGTATAATACAAATATTGTTTAATTTAATCGTATCTTATTAATAATTTGGATTCCTTTATTGTTTTTCTTCTTCTTTTCTTTTTTTTTTTTTTCAACACACTTGAAACCCAGTTTTGCCTTTTTACCTAAAGAATTTCTGTAATATTTGTAGTTTTAAAATAAATATTAGCTTTTTTTAAACTTAATTATTACCTTTTTTTTTTTAATTTTTAATTATAGAATATTAAAAACTTTTTGCTTTGTTTAAAATAAAGATTAATTTAATATTATTTTTGAAATACAAAATCTTTCAAACACATATTTTTTATTTCATTCTATTTATTTATCATTCCTTTTTTGCCGTACATTTTAAATACATTTAAGATATTTGCTTATTTTTATGTGTGGCAATAAATTCTTTAATACGAAATTTTTATAATGCGCCAAAAAAAAAAACAAACCGAAAACACGAAACGCAAACAGCAAATGGAAGACCTCAACTGTTTATTATTAACGGTAAGTGTTTTATATTTAGTACCGGCGCTTAATCATATCAAATATTAATTGAATAACTAACACCCGTGCCTTGCAACGAGAAACATAAACAGTAAATATGTAAAATACGGAGAGAGACGCCTTGCATCAATTTACCCCAGGCTCGCCTGAAGTTCTTCAAATGCAAACAAACTTCAATCTTAATAGATAAAATGTTGCAAGAGGGCTGCATTCATTTAGGAAACTTTTGCGTTTTCGACTCAAAAACATTTCTTGTTTTATAGCATAACATATTGTAGATGTGTAGCCTGAATCGATCGCGACTAATTTCTCGCTTTTGCTATTCAAGGCGAATTTCAAATCGAGATTAGTTGTAAGTCGTTAATCGAGATGTCTTCCAGCGTTGTAGTAGGCGATTGCTCGTGAAGAGAATCAGGTCGTTTTCATAATTTCGCCAATGGACTTGTAAACGTACATATGCACAATTGCACCTCTCTATTCAATTTTTGCGATGTCGAGAAGTACAAATACGATCCGACGATCCGAAAAGTGCGTAAGTTTGGGGGTGAAAATATTTTGATCAACAATTCATCAGACTGGCCTAAAAATACACCTGAAATCCCATTAAGCAATCAAGCAATTAAGCTCCTTTCCTATAGTTATCTTAGGTGACGGGTCATTCGGGTATGATTACATCGTTTCCTCAACTACCCAACTGAAAAGATGAAAAGGCTTAAAAAAACATGAAAAGTTTAAAGAGAAACGGTTATATTCGGTTTGGCCAAATTTTTCACTTGCTCGAACATATGTTCATCAGATAAAAATCGATCGTATATCGTATCTAGTACATATTTCCAATCGTAGACGATGGTATAAATTAAAATGTCTACTTATATGCGTTTTTATTTATTTATTTATTTATTTATTTTTTTTTGCTAGTGTTGGACTTACTTAATATGAAATTTTAATTAGCAAGAGACTTTAGATAGAATTTAAAGCTCCATAATTTCGAGGTTATACATAAGATAAAGACGAGAAATGAAAAATTGATTTGTTTGGTAATAGTGGACTGGATTTCAGTGATCTTCTGGCTTAACCTAACGAAAAAAGACAAGACAAGAAAAATTTCAACGCACTTAAGGTTCTAGGAGATTTCAAGGATATATATGCTGTATAGGATGTCTGATACGTTGCAAATGTTTAGCTCTAATCTAATAATGTTTAGGTCTAATGTGTTAATGTATTACTCCCTACGGCGAATATAAAAGACACACATGTAAATACCATTGGAGGCAAACGGCTAAACGTATCAGATCACATTGACAATTTATGGTATATATATATATATATATATATATATGTGAATGATGACTGACCTTTTGCTTGAATAGGGTTTTGTTGTGTTGCCGTCATCGATATAGTTAAGGAGAAATATTTACTTTTTTTGTTTTTTATGAATATTAAACTTTTTCGCAAAAAATAAAAAACTTTTGAATTTTATGTTTCTTTGGTCTTGAAAATTATAAGATTTCGGTGAAAGCCGACTAAAAATAAATTTTTTTTTTTTTAATAAAATTAATAAAAATACTTGTGCCAATTTTATGAAATATAATTTTCTTATAAAAAATAAACGAGTAAATTAAGAAGGAAACTTAAAAGGAATAAGTGTGCAATTGAAAATATACTTATAGTTTATTAATTAGTAAAGAAAGATAGAAAAACAAAAAACCGCAATACATGTTGTTTAATAAATAAATTTCTCTGCTCTATATATATATATATATATATATATATATGGATATATATATTATAAACATATACTATATATATATATTTATATGTATATAGCGGATATTTATTTGTAAAAATTAACTAATGAGAATAATATGAAATGAAATTATGCTTAAGCATTGAACAACTTTAGTATTAATGGACAGACATTCAAATAACTAATTGTCTTATTATTATCTCTAAGAAAAAGAAATATTGATTAATTGCTTTTGTTTGGATATTTCATGTCGTTCGAATATGAAGTTCTAATAAAAAGTACAAATAAAAGAAATAATAAATAAGTAAACATAATATTATATTAATTAGATAAAATTTTATTCAGCAATAATCAGATCAAATGCAAAATGATACGAGTCTTCATAATGAATAATGTTTAGTTGCAATTATTTAAATTTTCAAGTGAAATTGTAGTAAAATCTAACAACATTTTGATGATGATAGTAAGAGTAACACTTTTCGAAATAGAAATGTGACGGAAATATTAAGTTTTTTTTTTGTTCTTTCTTGTTTTTTTGTTTTTTTTTTTTTTCCTTTTATAAATATACAAGCTATCCATAAGTAAAAAAAATCATGAAGAATTGTATAAATTTCTTAAAAGAGAAATGCAAATTCAAAAGGAAAGTTTCGTATGAAAGATACGTTCAACAATATTTCAGTGTTCAAAAAAGCCACATGAAATAACAAAAAAAAAAAAAAAAAAAAAGAAAAAAAAAAAATGAATAATGAAATAAAATAAGAAAAGAAAAGAAACATGTAGAAAAATATGAACATAATATATACGAGCATGTAACATGATAGATGTTTCATTTACAACAATAAAATAAAAGATGTTTTACAGGCATGTTTATCTATGCGGTCACAAACATATATACACACACATACATACTCAGATATACCCACACTCATGCACACTTATACATACATAACATACACACATACGTGCGCGCGCGCGTATATACATATATACATATATATACGGACGGCAAGACGCCGACGCGGAGATTCTTTCTCATTCATACGACGCAATAAATATCTAAAATAACTATTAACTGAATTGTCAACATTTTAAAAGCTTAAACTAAGTGAGAATAAAGTAAATTAGCAAAATATACATACGTACATAGATTATAATTGCACCGGCACACTTACACACCTATAATGCGTACACATAAATAATTAAATGAATAAAACATCTTTTATATGCATGCATCTAAAAATGCTGGCGAATAAAAATAAATAGAATAGAAGAAAAAATAAGTTTTCTTTTGATCTTAAGCTCATTATTCGGAAGTCATTAGAATGTGAGACGATGAAACAATTAATTTATATAATTCATACATACATACATACATACATACATGCATACATACATACATACATACATACATGCAAGATACAACATACAACAAACGTAAATATACACACGAGAATATATTTAATAAATCAAAACGATGTTTTATTTATCTCGGTATTTATCTCGGTGTTTTGCACGATTTTCGAGAAAAAGTTGGCAACCCTAAGATCAGTTTACAGTTCGCGTTGCCGATTCATATCGTACGATATGAAAGTCAAAGAAGACACGAGCGCTTCTCGCTTCGATAGTACGATTACAAATTTTGGCAAAAGTGATAATCTTAAATACAGCGTACAATAAATGCAATGAAAAGGTTCGTTTTGATGATTATTTATTAATGAGTACTTAAAATTTGACTATCTTACTATCTAACTATACTCATAAGATCTAAACCGATTAATCTTCAGACGATTGTTATTATCGTCATCGCTTTCAGCAAAATATTTATCTTCTTTATCTTGATTAATTTGCTGCAAGTCATCAAATCGTTTTCAAATTTATTATTTCTCTTAAACTGTTTTTTTTCTTTCAATGCCGACGGCTTTTGCTAATTTGGTCCCTTAGATAATTTGGTTCGTTAGATAATTTGGTCCGTTAGATAATGTTAAGTTTTTGTTTTGCCGACGGCTTTTGCTAATTTGGTCCGTTAGCTAATGTTAATCCTAATGTTGGGCCGTTATTTTACAGAGTTGAACCTTCTGGTCTGTTAAGTTGCGCGTTTAACATAGCTGATTGGCGTTAACATTTAAGTTGTTAGTTGGGCGCTCAACCATTTATATATATTATAAGCGACTCTGTGCTTTGCCTTTCAACGGGGAATTTAGCGAGGGCGTTGTTTAAAAATTGGCTTTGCTTACATTTCAAAACTAAACCATATGTATGTATTTTGTTTTTGCAAAATTAAGATCAAATACATTTAATTGTTGCAAATTTCTAATTTGTTTACGTGCTATAGTCTAACAGAACTCTGTTAAAAATGTTTGGTTTGCGTCTTTGCTAGTCATATCTAACACCCTGTTGTACACTTTTACAATGTGTCAAACAACCATAAAATAGGGACAAATAAGATATTTATGTTTTTAAACGATTATTCACTCTCTTATGCACATACAAGTGTATATGCGCGAAAATAATCAAAGGCCAGATAGCAATAATAACTTGTTTTCATTTCATCATTTCTCCAAATGTTTACTATCGGTCAAAGGGCACGTTTGCACCAAAAAAACAAAAAAAAAAAAAAAAGGACGAATTTGTGTGTATTTTGATGCACTGATAAAAATTTGCATGCACCCATGCCCCACAATAATTGTACAAAACTTAAAAAAATTTGTCGTGGTCCTTGAATCAGTGTCTAATTATCATTTGTTAACATTTTTTTTTTTTTTTGTTGTAGATAGAGATGTACAAGATAGAGATGTAGAGATGACAAAGAAATGTAATTTTCTTATTTCTTTGGGCTATGAAGTAAGCTATGTCTTGGATAACAGGGTTTTAGCTCCAGCCAACACGAAATGAATCAAGAGTTTATGATGGATTTTGCTTCTTGATGAGTGTTTTAAGAGATTCATTATAACGTATCCCTTCGTTTATTTTTGTACCCAGTAAGAAAATTCGTAGTCTGTAATGTTTTTTATGCAAAATTACGTTTATATTTAATTATTAATTAAAGGATTCATAAATTTATCATAAAAAGAATTAATAGTATTTTCAGAGTCATTATATTCCGTTTTTAATCACAAAGTCTTTTGTTTTTACAAAATTTAAAAATTAATTTAAAAGACTTATCTAGGTTTTTATAAATTCATGAATGTAGTAAATAAAAAAAAAGGTAGAAAGATCGTTTTACATATACACATATGAAATTCGTTATGAAAAAGAAAAATAAAAACCAAACAAAGAAACTCTCTCTCTCTCTCTCTCTCTCTATCTATTGTTGAATGAACGTTCTAGTTAAAAGAAAGTTTATGAAACTACAATAATTGAAGATAAAGTGCGCATTACCTGATCGGCATATGTACAAGAGTCGTATGCAAGCATATATACAGAAATTTAATGTTGAATGTTAGAACAAATATTTCTCTTTTAGGTATCCGCGCTATACTTCTATTTATATACATGCTCATAAAAGTCCAGCACCATAATCGCGTAATCCAGAGTTTAAATTTATTCGGGTAACGCCAGGGCAAGGAATTGAAGGTTGCTTACATTAATATATAAATAAATACTAATTACAAATTATCTTAAATAAGAGACGAAACCACAAAAATATTTTTATTGCTTAGAAAACAAAAAAAGAAATAATATTTGGCCACGTGATGTACACACACCGTGCGTACCTAATGTAACATACATGAGATTATATGCAAACGAAGCTTACGAACCAAAATGATCCTTGCTTTGATCAATGGGTGCGTAATCATAATTACCACGTCCATCGAACTGTAAATAGTAATCGTGATGAATCCACAAAGACTTACGATGTGAAACGGTAAATAGTGTAATGCCTGCCTCCCGGCAATAGCTATACATTTTGCCCTCAACGTCAACAGAAACCGCACTCGTGCATTCGTCCAGAATGGCGAACTGTGGATTATGATAGAAAAGACGAGCCATAGCGATTCTTTGCTTTTCGCCGCCTGACAATACATCTATCCAGTCTTCGACGGCATCTAAACCATTTTCGCGTTGCTCTACATAAGTTAGTTGTACTAAATCCAGAAATTGCATTAAATCCTCATCGGTTTTCTTATGCAGACGCATGTCTTCATAGGTGTGTGGGTAAATAATCTAAGAGTGAAATTTCTTAGAGGTAAACTGATTAATTAAGGCTAATGCACTACTAACTTACCTGATCTCTTAATGTACCTAAAGTCATATAAGGCCTCTGTGGTATATAAAATAATTTACTGCGATGTGGTTTCGTTACTTTTCCACCCCAGGTGGGCCATAATTCACCCAATATGCGGAATAAACTGGATTTACCACAGCCATTTGGACCACAAACCAACACATTCATACCGGATCTTTAAATTAAATATAATGTAGAGAATATATTAGGGAAACAAAAGACTAAACAAAAATTCGTTATAATGTACCTGACTTCAAATGTTAATTCCTTAACTAGCACATCGCCATTAGGTGTAACCAATGGTACCTTTTCAAAACGTATGATATTGTCTTGGAATATCATTTCACCTTGCCCGGGACTGAATTCTTTCTGCGAATTTTTGATATTATTCAACATGGTGCGCTCATAAGTGCCCTTATTGAGATCATCTAAGACTTTGATTAGTTCAGTCATGCGTGATGTAAACCCTAAAGATATAATATGTAAGATTTAATATGAAAATTTAAAACAAAAACGACAAGCCAGCAAATTCTTACCAGCTAAGCGTGTCATTTCACGACCAGCCAATACCAGACGCCCAACAGCTTCGGCTAGTTTAATTAACATTCTGCCAGATGTGTAATAAATCTAAAAAAATTATTTTTTTTAACAAAAATTCATAGAATTCATAATAAAAAAAATAAAAAAAATAATAAAATAAAAAAAAAACATAAAAATGCACCTGTAAACGTTTACCGCTATTCCCGCCAGATAACATGGGATGATTTTCATTGAAGAACGGTACAGAAACGGCGTAAAAGCCCACAACTGACGCAAAATCTGTGTAATGAGAAATCAGGCACAGATTTGAACGTTTTTATTTCTACTCCTACGATCTCAAGAAGACTTACATTTTCCGATCAAATTATCGATAATTCCCATGCTAACGCGAAATTCTAGGAACTTACGTAAATGTGAACGTAACTTTCCGTAGCTGGCAAGTAAAGTTAATTTCTCTCTAAAATTACCCTGATAGAAGGCAATCTCTTCCGAGTTCGTGATAAGACGACTGTTAACATATCGAAATTCACCCTCAAGCTTTTGTTCTTCTACCGTAAGGCGACCCGTCGGGCGACGCATATGTGTTAAAAAAATGCCGGCAAAAATCATATAAATCATTAAAAATCCTGGGGTCTAATAATGTCCAGGACCAGGAAAGAAAAATTTATTTATGTGACGAGAACGAATAAGACAAAAGAACGGAGAAGAAAACTTACGCTGCCTCCTAAATTCATCGTTAAACGGTAAACGTAAATGAATATGTCCAGGAGAGGTTTGCTAACATTAGTATACAAATCGGTTGCACTCTCACAAAACTTGTCAATATCCGTGGTAAGCAATTGATCAGCATTTGCAATTCGATTATCTAAATTGGACATTTTGTAATAAGTGTAACCTCTAGAAGGAGAGAGAAAAATATAATTCATAATTCAGCAATAAAATAACATGTTATGTAACTTACGTCAGGTACTGGTTGTATAGGTGATGAGTTAAATTCGTACGAAAACGTAATTTCAATTCGCCTAAACTCCACTTTAATATATTAGTGATCACAGAAATCTTAAGTAAATAAAAATGAATAGTTAGTTAATTAGTTAAGTGTTCATCAATGGGATTTCGCTTACCAATGGCAATGTGAACATGTAACTTGTTAAGCCTCGCTTGAATAGGTCCCTGTTCTTGTGAATAATAAAGCCTTCAATCTCAGTCGCAGTTTGGATCATAAATATATCACAAGCAGACCGACCAACCAGGGACAGAGCAACCAAAACAAGCAAACCGCTTTCAACGCTCCAAAATCTCGGCACAATAATGGCTATATATTATTAGAGAGAAAGAGAGAGAAAAGTAAATCAAAAACAGTAATGTACGTACGATGCATTCGAGTGTTCTTCCATCCGCTAAAGGCAACACACTAGACTTATGAAATGTATGTGGAATTATGCACTCGAGACCCTATATACATTTTGTCAGCGCGAATAGCAGAACGATTTTTTTCGCGCATCTCTTTCTCTCGATTTGTGTATTTTTTTTAAAGGAAGTCGTATAGAAAAACAATCTTGGCTCCTCAAAACATTTCGTACTATCGCCATCAAGTTAATTCCGGAAATTTAATCCATGAGGTTTTACAATCACTCCAATTACCAAGAAACCAACAAATGCCACGTCCTTCTAATTGTCATCTCAAAATTTTGAAGCTTTTAGTGGATACCTTAAATCGTTTCTTCACAAAATCTCCTTTCATGCCAATAATTTCCACTCCGATCATCGAATGACTAAGTATGACTAAGTGTCTTATCTTAATTATCGTAATGTAGTGCATTGTCGATTCCTTCTATCGCCACAAACTGTTAGAACGAAATCTTTAGAGGTTATTCTCCACAATTATGGCCAAAAAATCCTAGTGTTTGCACCTTCTCGCAGTCAATTGATTCTTTGAGAGTGTGTTGGAAGCAATGCGACATTTAATCTATTTGCCTGCTCTATAGTAGCTCTATACTTTTCTAATGGAAAAGTGATGGAAAGGATTATGTTACTTAGTTAACAAAGTCATTATTCTTCTTGCACTTATGCAGATTAATCCGTTAAGAAATGCTCATTAATCGGTCCGCTTTTTCTCTCATAGCTACTGCTTATCCTTTTATCACAATACAACAGAGCACAATTCGTTTGTTGCGTTTTCATCTCAGAACTATTTTCGGACTTATAAGTTGAAGAGCGTACATTCATTACATCTATGTCATTATCGTATGGCGTCACGTGTTCAGTGTTTATTAAAGCTATTTTCAAAATTCGATTGATATGAGAATTTTGAATTGATCAAAGTATCGCGTATAGCTATTCCCATGAAAAATAAACGTTTATATGACCGAACACTAAATTTTTTAATTCTATGACTCAAGACACTTGGACGCAAAAATTATCTTCAGCAAGTTTAGGCCATAGAAGAATTTGCATGAACAGTAGGCCTTTATATGGCAAAAATGGCTAACTTTTAACAATTCATGGTGAAAATTACCCTATGATAGCGGGGATATAAAAATTCAACTTACCTAATTTCCACTACGTAGATCTGCTTTTTGCAATCTACATGATGAGAAGGTTCTAATAAAAAATAGCCAAGTCTGTATGTGGCAAAAAGATTTAATTCTTTATATTGCATTTTGTGATGAACCTAATCGAGTACAATGGTACAATGGTGGGTTTATTCATTGGACCCGACGATATATCATAAGGGCCCATACAGAATCAATATATTCAGCAGAATAACGAAATTTTTAATATGGACCCTTGCCGAAAGATGCAGACAATTTAGGAAATTTCGCGACACTACTTATTATGCTAGCAGATGGCGTTGTAAATTGACGCGTTTATCTTTAAGCGCAACTTGTACTTGTCGATAAGGTTTTAATTAATTCTTGGACTAATTATTAGATTTCAAGGTATTATGGGTAGCCTTCCTTTCGTAATCGAGATTTGCCAAAAATTCGCTAATCATTTTAATTTTAAAATCCTTTCGACCACCAATGAGTAGAAGACCGACTTTACTTTCAATCATGAATTATAACTTATGCGTTCCTTTTAAAAAAAAATTGAAAGACATCAAACGATATTATGAAGTATTTTAAAATTTTCCAAATTGATGTTGTAACGCATTACTCTCAATAAGCTCGCAGGAGGACGTACGGATGTCACCATTATTAATGAGTTCATGAAATTTCTAAATATTATTTAGAATTTTCATATTTTATTTAGTATGTGTTCTGCCGTACACGTGCACACCTTTATTTCTCTTATTAAGCGGTAAACCATCTGTTGTTGATTCCGCTGATTATTGAAGTAGAAGTAAAAGCTTTTTATATTTTTGTATATTACGTGAATTCGTACTTCGAGCGAAATTGAATGAAAATTTCATGGCATTCCCCGCCGATCATTAATTCACATTTTCGTTACTCGAGCAAACTTATGCACCGATTTAACTAATTTTTTACAATAAAAATCGAAGCGACTTTTCGTTATATAATACTCTGGACGCTAGACTTAATAAGTGTTTGGCAATTTTAATATCAATTCCGTTAGTCGTGCTGGCAAAGAACGTACCGTATTGGACAAGTATATTCCTATATACATCAGAGTTTTACTTACGTAATAGTTTTCTCAATTGTTTAAAAAAAACTGCGTTCACATGAGCCTTTGGAGCCTTTTTGTCCTTTTTCTCCGCAATTGCATATTGAATTTTATTCTCATAAATCGATTTGCTGTATACAAAAACAAAACAAAAAAAAAAAAAAAAAAAAAAAAAAAATTGAAAATTGAAAATTGAAAATAAATGCAAAAAAATAACAAGAAACATGACTAAGTTAGAAAAATAGGAAAAACCTTTTCGCTTAAATAAATTGCATTAAATGGTTTATTATCAGGTGGACTTTACATCAAGAGAATTTAAAAAATACATATATAAATATAACGTTATCTACAATTAAAAATTGCATATGGCTCTTTCACATTGGCTTGACAAGCTTCACCTGCTTTTCAATTTCATTAAGTTGCTATTACAATTGTTAAACGGACGTAATGTGCTTATCATTCAAGATTGGTCAGCATATTTCTGCTTTTTTTTCTGTTTTTTTTTTTTTTTTTTTTTTTTTTTTTTTTTTTCTGTTTTATACCCACCACTGAATAATGAAAGTATATAAATTTTGTTAAGGCGTTCGTAGTGCAATTAAACTCGATTAGATATCGGACAATAATTCAATTAACTTAAGAACTCTTAGAGCCGCCCTAATTTGAAATAAAGAGCTACAACTGGCGCATGCTATAATCATGGAACAATTTATGAGGACGAATTCAGAAGTGACTTGATTCACACAAGCATTCCAAAGAACTAGTAGCCAAAGACCTGGATGAAGTTCAGCAGGTCCACCACCACTTCTTTCCAGTAATTAAATATCAACCGAATATTTATTAAAGTCCATTAAAACTTGCTATTTTTAATAGCGTTTTATTCGCTGAGAAGGCGAAAATTTAGTTGGGAGCACTGCCAAGAAATTGCCTCTGGAAATTCCGTCTTTCCACGATTCAAAGGAATCTGCCCTACAATGGGCTGCGAAGGCAACGCCCATGGCAAAACGACTCAACATGGAATAATTTTGATTATTATGTAACACTCACTATGCCCTGTAATTCGGATGAATTGTGAGCCACCAGTTCATTTATTCTATCGCTGGCAGGTGTCGTGAAGACACATGTAATGATCCAAATTCTTAGGTGAAACATTTTATAAGAATCTCATTCGTATTGATAGCTCTGATGAAGGCATATTATATCTTACGTACTTTATATCAACTTCCCCCGCACTTATTGTAGAGATTTCCCTGTTCCTCGAGAAGGGAACACAACTGATACTACAGCTACATGCAAACTATGTGTAAGAGATGAGGCCGTTAAGCGTACTCGCAACGTAACGTAACGTAGCATAATTTAAAACTTTACTCTGTTAGTCATAATTTGTCGCACAAATTGCAAAGAGTCTTCCAGTGTCCAAGTTGGTGGGCATCCAATGTTCGGCCAACTTGGCGAATTGCTTTATTACTTAACTTTTCTACTACTAATCGTTGAGGTAATTTAATTCAATTTTATCGCATGAGAAGAGAAAGAAGAAAACAAAGCGCGAGTCTTGTTTTAGTTAACCACTGTGTTTAATATGAAAATATTTGTACAGCAAGCAAATGCTTATGTGCTTATGTAGGTGCACACACAGGAATATCATGAAAAAAATTTGCTAAATTTAAATACATATGCTTGCGAATTATTATTGCATTTGCTTGAGTCTGAGATATGAATGAGTGAATGAATGAAGCAGCGCGTAAATAAACTACATTCGCATCTCTAAAGAGCGGGAAGAACGTCGCTTTAGATAAATAAAAGGTAAGTTATCTCTTCTATCTTTCTCTTTCCCCTTGCAAGGCACGATAAATAAAGATTATGATATACATAAATATCTGCCAGCAAGACAGATCCATCTCTTAGTATACTACCCCGATTTAAAAAACAATTTCTGAATCGATTTAAA